GGGTGGCTGGACTGAGTGAATACGTGTTGTGGATCCTTTGACAGTTGCCTAGACGACGTGAGGAAGACTGGAGGGTTGATGGCTGGAAAAAAGTAAAAGCAAGAAAATAAAAGGAAGAAAAGCAAGCGAAAAACCCGCCACCAGTAAGGAAAATTGCGTAGGTAAAGGTGAGAACTCTCAGCTTTACCCAAACATCAGTTTCATAAATAAGGAAGCCTTAAGAAAGCGAAAAACCTGTTACTAGCAAAGGACTTCCCCATTTATGAAGCTGATGCTTGGATAAAGCTAAAAGATCAAACATATGATGCTTACGTGAAGCCGAGAACAGACTGCAGCTTCCAGGTTGACCCCGGAAGTGCAAATGGCAAGGTGTGAAGGAGTTCAGGAGAAAGGAGAAGTGTAAATTAGAAAAGGTAAGAGCAAGACAAGACGTTTTGGTCAATTAAGTCATATACGTCTTAACTCAACACTGCGACTGAACCTCGTCAGTATGACGGCCGCAGTGCATGAGGAGAAAAAAGAAGGGAAAAAGGTGGTTAAGAACGGGGGAGAGAGATGAAAGTAGAAACACTAGGATCTAATAGACTGAAAAAGTCGGAAATGAAGCTGATGCTTAGATAAACTCAGAGCTCTGGGCCTTACCTAAGCAGCTCTGGGCTTTACCTAAGCATCGGCTTCACAAATAAGCTTGTCTCCCTACTCTGTCCTGTTCCCAGCCCGTGCCTCCTGAGCTGTATCGAGACACTTACCAACCAACACCATCCTATTCACATGAAATTTCCACTCACCATCCCTCCCAGCATACGCGATCTAACAGCAGAACGCCGGGTATCGCTATCCGGTGCACCTTGCAAACTGCCACGCGACACCGACAAGACTCGCCGTGAAATAGCATTAGTGAGGATGTCAGAGAGTGACGGTAAGGGTGAGCCGAGTCGAATTCTAGTAATTGCCAGAAGAGCGTTGTACGATACAGAATATTAGATTACAGCCAGATTATTAGTTAATGCAAATCTTCCCACAACTGATGCACAGCATGTGTATTTGCATAAAAAATATACAATTGGCCGATGCTCGGACTGCCCGTACGAAGTTGCGTTGTTTGCATAGCTTCCCGCAGATTTTTGTCGCTAACGGCACTGGTTTTTCTGGCAGATATTTCTAGCTAAAAGAATTTCAGACTGGCCGCCAGAACTGTCAGGAAAAATCCCTTCAAAATTTCAGTCTTCTAGCTTCTCACGTTCTCGAGTTAGCAACTTATCCGGAAGAAATTTTCACGGGCCCGTAC